AACAGAAAGAAAACAAACAAAACAGAACGACAATAGTCTATTGTCAATATATGACATTCCTCCGCTTTAAATTTCTTCAATTAACCGATGTACTGGTTTCTTGAGTCGAGCTGAACGTCGAATTGTATCTGATACTTGATCAGATATGGAAGATGATGAAGAGCACTTGTTACGATCAATTGTACCTGTTTCTATCATTGTTGTTGGATCTAAAGTAATAACATCGTCATCTGTTGACCATTCACGATGTTTAATTTGATTTTCATGACGACGCCAAATATGATTTCCGACTTTGACAAACCATAATCGTGAACCTTGTTGATTAATAAGTACACCAGGTGTCCATTTTATTTTATTTGAATTATTTCTAAAATCACGTACAAGAACCTTGTTATTTTTTTCGAAATAACGTTCTTTTGTATGTCGATCAAAATTTTTTATATAACGACATCGAGTTGTATATGATGGATCAAAAGTGTCGGGCCTTAATAAATCGAATATAGTTCTTATTTGTTGTTTAAGAAATAGTTCAGCTGGACTTGACTTCGTTGTTGCATGAGGAGTTGTTCTATAACAAAATAAAAAATTTGAAAGAATATCATCAATTTTCCCACCATTATAAAGTCCTTTTGTTAAAGCAGATTTAACAATGTCCACATAACGTTCTGCCTGACCATTAGATTGAGGATGTCCCGGTGATGTTGTAATGTGTTTAATACCATTACGAGTACAGAATTCAGTAAATTCTGCTGAAGTAAATTGATTACCATTATCAGATACAATAACTTCACATAGACCATAACGAGTAAATAAAGATGATAATATAATGCACGAATTGTTGATTTATTTGATGGATTTTGCATTGTAATGACTTCAATCCATTTAGAATATGCATCAACAATAATAAGGAAATATAAATTCATAAATTTTCCCATAAAGTCTATATGAATTCGTTGCCATGGTTGACTTGGTACAGGCCATGGTGATAATGGAGCTTTAATTGGTTGTTTAGAATTTTTCGTACAGCTGGGACATTTACGAACGAGATCTTCAATCTCTTTGTCGATAAATGGCCACCAAAAATAACGTCGAGCATAGACTTTCATTCGGATCATTCCTGGATGAGACAAATGAAGATAATTTAAAAGATGAATTCGAAAACAAGTTGGAATAATTGTACGAAGACCCCAGGTAATACATCCATGTGATGTTGAAAGATCATTTCGGATTCGATAATAAGGTTGTAAATTATCAGAAATAGATAATGGCCAACCTGATAATATAAATTTATAAACTTGTATGAGAATAAGATCTTTTTGAGTTGCTTTAGCAATTTGTGCAGCACGAAGAGGTAAATCTTGTTGAGAATCTTGTTGAATTGAAGCAACTACACGTATTTCACCTGGATCTTGATTATCGAAAGCTTTATCTGGTCCAATAGGTAATCGAGAAAGTCCATCGGCATGACCGAAATTAAATGTTGAACGGTATTCAATATCATAAACATATCCCATTAAACGAAGAGCCCAACGTTGAAGACGATTAGCTGATGTTGTTGGAATGCCTTTCTTTGGACCAAAAATTGTAATTAATGGTTTATGATCTGTAAGAAGTGTAAACCTTCGACCACGTAGAAATTGATCAAACTTTTGTACACCATAAATAATAGCAAGCGCTTCTTTTTCGATTTAAGCATAATTACGTTCAGTAGATGTTAAAGTTTTAGATGCATGAGCAATAGCTTTTTCTGTACCATCAGGATAACGATGATAAATAACTGCACCAACACCTGAATTAGATGCATCTGCTGCCAGAACTAATGGTAGAGAAGGATCATAATGTGTTAATGCAAGTGGAGAAGTAAGACATTGTTTAATATTTTTAAAAGCTTTGTCACAAAATGAATTCCATTTCCATGGAGTATTATTTTTTAATAATGAATAAAAAGGTGATAATTGATCTGATAAATTTGGAATAAATTTAGCATAATGATTAATCATACCAAAAAATGAACGTAATTGAGATATATTAGTTGGTTTAGGCATTTCGACAATTGCTTTTGTTTTTGATGGAGATGAATGAACACCATTTTTGTCCACAATAAAGCCTAAATATTCCACATAATTATTTAGAAATATGCATTTACCTTTATTAATTTGAAATCCATATTCTTTAATTCTATTAAATACTTTATGTAAATTATTTAAATGATCAATTTTATTTTTGCCAGTAACAATAATATCATCTAAGTAACACGCTGTACCTTCCAGACCTGATAACATTTGATCCATAATTTTCTGGAAGATGCTAGGTGCAGAAGCAATACCAAATGGTAATCGATTAAATCGGAATAAACCTTTATGTGTATTGATGACTAAAAGTTCTTTACTATCATCATCTAATTCAACTTGTAAATAAGCTTCAGAAAAATCAATTTTACTAAATAGTGTTCCACCATTAAGTGCAACAAATAAATCATTTGGTTTTGGTAATGGATATTGATCAATATCTAATGCTTGATTAACACCAGTACTAAAATCAGCACAAATTCGAACTTTACCACCTGGTTTTGGTACCACCACGATGGGTGCAGCCCACTTTGAAACAGTAATCGGTTCTAGAACACCTTCAGTAATAAGTCGATTGAAATCATTTTCAACAGCTTCACGATAAGCAAATGGTAAAGATCTAGCTTTGCAAAATTTTGGAATAACATTTGGTTTTACATGAAGATGGGCTTTTACTTTGCAACAACCTAAACCATCTTTAAAAATGTCATCATAAAGAATAATTAATTCATTTAAATTTTTAAATTCAAAATGAACATTTTGTATTGATGAATTAGAAATAAGATCATCTAATGTTTGATTATTAAGATGTAAAGCATTAATCCAATTACGACCAAGAATATTATTTCTATTTTTATCACCAACAATAACTTTTAATTGAACAGATCGATCATTGTAATTCACGTTTACCATCTTCTCCCCTTGAATACGAATAGAATGACCAGAAAAACTATTATAAGTTGATTTAACTGGACGTAATTTTGGTTGTCCCATTAATTCCCAAACATGTTTATTTATTATTGTAATAGGAGAACCATTATCAAGTTCAAAATTAACTTGAACATCATCAACTTTGATAGGAATTCGAATAGCATGTTCACGTGTAAATGAATTTTGTGATACTGAAAATATTGTATTTACCTTGAATTGATTTGAAGTTGCTTTTGAACGACAAACTTTAGCAATATGTCCTTCCTTGTTACATTTGTGACCAGTAGCGTTACGAAAACGACATTTTGATCGTGGATGATCAGTAGATCCACAACTAAAACAAATTGATTTTTGATAATGAGGATTTTTGTGTTGTTTACGATGTTGAGTAATTTTATTAAGATTAAGTTCTTCTGATGATGTATTTTTAATTTTTGAACCTTCAATTAAAATTGATTCAATTGTTTTAGCAGTGTTAATAGTTTCTTCAAAGGTTTGTAAATTTCGTTGCATTAGATGTTTGCGTACATGATCATTTTGTAAACCACCAACAAATGCAGTGATTAATGCTTCTTCATAGAAATTCGAAGGAAATTTACAAGTTGTTGATTTATCACGTAAATCATTTGCAAAATCTGTAAGAGTTTGTGGAGATTCTTGACGTTTTCCAAAAAATTTAATACGTTCTATTGATGGAAAAGTAATACGTGCATAATTTGATCGAAGTTTTTCAATTAATTCAGGATAATTACATTCAGTTGGTTTCTTTCGTTTACAAATCGAGATCAAGGTTTTAAATGGTTGTACACCAAGAGCAGTTATAAGTAGATTTCGTTTCTTCGAATCTTCAGTAATTCCTTGAACTTCAAGATATGTATCAAAGAGAACTTCCCATTCTTCCCAATCATAAGAATTCGGATCAAATTCATGAAGAGTATTAGTAATTGAACGTAATTGTTGTTCAAGTGTAACACGACTGGGAAGAATTTAATAGAGAAATTTTTTTTTTTTAACAAAAAAAAAATGTGTACGGTTTTAAATATGTATATTTAAAACAAATGTAAGGAGAAGATGATCTCACTTTCGTCGCCAATTGTCATGTATTCGAATAATACGCAATTTCAGGAATATCGTATTGTCAATTGCGTAATAGAATAAGGTCAAGGTCAATAACTTATTTATTGACTGGAAGAAACAGAAACGAGAATAGATAACGAAAACGAAACGATCAAGAGTCAAGAAGAAGATGAATGTCCTTGTTTTAAAGAAAAGACACATACATATATATAATG